CTCCATGTAGAGGCAAATAAGATCAAAATCTCCACTCATTCGTTTTAGGTTTTATGTGCACACAAAACTAATTTCTGCCTCCTATCTGAGACCCCCATCACATCTTAAACCCAATTTTCTCCTAGGTAAGGACTTACAATGCAACTTTAGTAAAGGGATCAAAATGAGATGGGAAACATTTAAAATGCAAATTTAAGATCATGGTATTAATATGAAAATAATGTCTTCACACTCTCACTTTCTTGTGTTTCTACGGATACATCAATTCTTCACAAATTAGATGTGCTTCCTTTATATCTAAATCTCTATGACATTAAAAAGAAAGTCCTTACGTTTTCATGCTGCTGATGTATAGAATATGTTTCTAAAAGGCAGGAAAGGTGATTATAACTGTATTCTTTGGATAAAGGAAACTTCAGCCTGCTTTCGGAGATCAAAATTTGCTGCATATGAAAGCATTTAAAATCCAAGTAGGTGGTTAATCACTCCACAAAAAGGGGAATTTTTGACACCGTGCTTAACAGATACAAATGGAGGATTAGAGAGACTGAAATGCCACCCAGTTGAAGCTGGGTGCTGCTATGAATACACTCCACGTTCTGAACAGTTCAGCCTCCTAGGGAGAAGTTAATATCCCCCAGTGTAATGGTCAGGCCCTCCACAGGGCTCTTCCACAAGAAATCATGCTGGGGAATAAAATTACTGGAAAGAATTTCACTTTTAAAAGACCATTGGGAAGATTTTTATACGTGTTATTTCTTCAACAGACACGAAGGGTGCAATGCCTGGAATTGAGGGCGAAGCATTGTAGGGATACAGCCAACAGGTGGAAAAGAGGTATGGTGACCCCCGCTGTTGCTCTCCCTTCAGATCTCAGCTGTGATGTTTTCAAGCATAACCAGGCACACAGCAGTGGGGACTCTACTCGGAGCTGCACATTCCTCACATTTATTCCTTCTTCTCTTTCCAGAGAGCCTCACAAAACATTGGTGGAGAGAAGATGTCATTCACGACCGAAGTGTGCAAGGTTCAGAGAACCTGAGATGAACTTGTGCGGCATGGGATGAATATTTCAGATGCCTCAACATTGAAACAGTCATAGATGGAACTTATGCTGGACAAAATTAAAACAAGGGGGCAATGGACCTCGTGAGTCCGGAAAGTGTCTCTCCTTCACGTGAAAAGCTTGATTGAGCTGCTTTACATAGTAACACAAGCTAAGTGAAATAGTAGAAGAGCAGCAAAACCAAAGCCAAACACACTTTGAAACTGATACTAACTTTGAAGCTGACTTTCAGAAGCACATTAAATTTAACATTCATGTGTTTTTTAATAGAAGGCAAGCACAATAAAAGGAATCTGGTTAACTTGAAATTAAACAAAAATGTGGATTTTCCACTTACTTTGAGATGTTAGAATAGTCATCTTTCGGGGGCAAGAGAGAATGCTCGCATATTGACCAATCAATAATAAATTTGGTCAATCCAATGCTGTATACATAAAATTAATTTGCGTACAATGCACCCATGTTGCTTTCTTATTCCAGCCTGTTTTAACTGACACCAAGACAGGGACAAAGCTCTACAGAACTCAGCTAATAAAAATATACATTGACCTTCTTAGCTTCTGGTCCTGAAGGTAAATGTATGGCAAATTTAATACCAGCTTGAGAGCAGTAATAATTGTACTGTTAGAAAGTGTAATTAATTAAACAGCCCAGTGGTAAAGATCCCAGCAGCAAGCCTGGAACAAAGACCGACTGCAACAGCGCAAAGACTTGAACTAAAGAGGAAAAGAAGGAAGAGATCGCATTTAGCCCATGTACGCAGACAGTAATGGAGGAGGTAATCTCCTCAAGAGTACACGGAGCGCATTATACTGGAAATGAGACTACCTGGCAGGCGAAGTCAGCCGAGTTCCTAATTCTCCTCTTCAACTTTGTGATTTGCTAATGTGAAACACATGTCTGCCTTTTGCACCAAGTTCAAATAACTCCGGAATTCCAACTGTGCAGCTCAGTGACTGAACCAGAACAAGGGGAGAACTTGTCAGGATTTAAGAGCTTTCAGCAAAGCCCTTCAATTGCAGCCAGCACCCTATTCCAGGGAAGGATATCAATTATAGATAGTGACCTGCTTTAGCAGGCAGTCGGGACTGTCAGACACTAGATAGACAACCATGAAGAATCATGAATCTTTCTATTAACTGTAAGGGGGGAAAAAAGAATGGGTCATGGCTATAAATAAGGCAGAGAGCCGAATGGTTTAACACCTTGCCGCTTGGTTGTATGGGGCATGAAGATTCAACTAATTCTCAAAACCTCTTGCCAAGTGAAGTCACAGGATCAGAAATGGTTAATGCCTGTCTCTGTCCCTAAAACGTGCGCTTTGCAACTGGTATTTATCCCATCTGCCACCAGAGTAATTAGCTGGATTTGAAGTAGCTCTTCCTTTAATCCACAAAACAGGAAGCACCTCTTCCATACCAGGCCACTGCTAATGCTACCAAATACACCCAAGAGAGGGAAGATACCTGTATATCCTGCAATATGAAATCGTTTCAATGTACAAATTTGGGATTTCTACACTTACGACACTTGTAAAAAAGGTGAAATATAAGTGACATGAACTAGTGCCTTTATTTGTGTTGTTGTAAATTATAATTTTTAGTTCACTTAATTAAATGCAGTTACTCATAATTTAGCACAGATAAAATTCATACCATAATGGTTAACACATGGAAATTTCTTCCAATCATGACAGGAATTTCTTCTAGCTGATTTTGGGGAAAAAAATGCCGCCTTATATATGTGCATTCATATTTTTTAAAAGGTACTTTTCCATAAAACAGAAAAACATGGTAATTATTCAGGTGGTGGCTTAAGCAGGCTTTCTTTAAAATTATTCGGAATTCTTTATGAAAACATCACAAGGACTTTTTGCAACTAAGATTAAAATGAAATACCTGCAATATTCACTGTCTTATAAAAACAGCTTTCAGATCACTGAGGCAAAGCAAAGGTTAAATTGCTCTCACATCCTAAAAATGTTACCCTAAACCTGGCCGTAAGGAGCTCCACTCATTAGAAATCTGGACTTAACAAAGCTCTCATTTCTCCCCGCATCCATTAATGATCACACCAGTGACACAGCACTCTTCAGAAACTACAATGACTCAGCCTCTGAGAATTTTTTTTCCCTCACAATTTTCTTTTCAGTCCTACAAATGGAACCCAAGGCCTTGTACATGCTAAACATGTGTTCTACCACAGAACCACACCCTCAGGCCCTTGGACCCTGCCGCCATTTTTATAGGACAGAAGCTTTGACACAAACAATGCTCTTTATTTACTCTGTTCACTAATTATATCACTGAGAATATTCATAGCATATGCTTGCTATTCTTTGAGAGCATTTCTTCATATTAAAAAAAAAATTTCCGACTGTCCCCACCCCATAGTCTTACTGCATCTTTGTGTTTTTCATTAAAGTAGTCAGCAAGAATAAAGGACCATTAAATCAAACGTGGTTTTAAAATAATACTTGCATCAAATTAAAGAGAAAAAAAAATCAAATTATGCTCATGGAAAAATTTGAAAATATACCTTAATTAAAAACATTTGCCTTTCTGGGGTTTTTTTCTTCTGTACTCCGAAACCTATAATTCTTCGCGTACAATTACAAAGAGACATGATTAGCAAAGAAATGGGAGGGGGGGCCCCTGGTGATGCTATAGTAAATCCTCAAAACATTCTGTATGTAACAGTTCTCACCGCCCGGCGAGCTGTGTACTTCACAGCGCTTTGTAACTGGGGTACGGAGAGGTACATTGCAACAGAGACTTCAAAAGCTCACGAAACCTATGAAGCATGTGAGAGAAACTTTATAATTTTCGTGTTTAATCCAAATGGAAGAGAATTATCAAGACAAGGATCATCTAAAAATACAAAATAACTGTAAAAGAATGGACAATGAGAGAGAGGGAGGAAGAGAGAGAGAAACAGAGAGAGAGAGAGAGAGAGAGAGAGAGAGAGAGAATGTATGTGACAGGTAATCACAACAAGGACTGCTCTGGCAGGTTTTCCATCCTATTAAAAGCTTAAGAAACTGCCCTTTTAGGTGAACCATCCTTCCGGCTTTCATAGGACCACTCGCCTCAGCAGAGAAGTTGTCTGAGCCTGTATCTGTTTACTCTGGATGCTCTAAATGGCCTTCCACATCCGCGTCTCTTGATTCTACCAGCCAGGGAGACTACATTGGCCTTTGAGGAACTGCCAAGTCCTATGAAGCACCAGCAAAGAGGTATGGGCAGGGCTGGGGCTGACCGGTATTATCTGAACAACAGAGGACAGCTAGAGAAAGACATCTGGACCTGGCTTGGTAAGAGAAGGTTTGGTTTTCAATCTGACCACTGAGCACACCATTAAACACATCTCAAAGCACATGTAATTGTTTCCATGAAGCTATTAACCCCACAGGACTTGCCCTCAAGTCAAAAATTATGTTCACAGTTTATCCCAAACATCTACACAACTTCATAGAGTACTAATTGCTCTATAAAATAATGAGAAATTTGTAGGAGGAAAAAAAAATACATAAAAAGAAATCCTCCACTCCTACAATTTTTTCTATTGTTCCTGGGCCTTGGAAGGGAAGGCAAACTTGGTTAAAAGGTTAATAATAATTCATGTCCAGCTTACTATTACTCAATAACCATCAAAGTCGCTAACTCAAAATAGTGTTTGCTGGCTTACAGGATCAGAGTCATTACACTCTCTATTGAAGACTTTATTGAATTTTACACTAAGCTTTAGCTGACTGAACAGGTCAAGCACTGTGGCTCAGAGTTTTCTTTATTCTCAAAAAGTCATAAAGCGCTTTCTAGTCTGCAGCACTGCTAGCTAAGAAACCCGACCCCGCCAGGGTCAGAGAAGCTGACCTCCACAGGAAAGGTCACACAGCCCACAGCCGAGGCCAAGGCCCGGAGCCCCGGGCACTTACGTGCACAAGCTGGTCCTGGGTGTCGAACTCCCTCGTGCAGCCCTCCCAGTGGCAGTTTGTCTCGTAGATGACTTCAGGCTCCTGTTTGCTTTCATCTTTGTCTCCTTCCTCCTTCACCAGGGTTGTTCCTTCTGGCTGCTCCTGAAAGGCAGGATATGGGGGAAAGGGGACACAGAAGGGGGAAATCAGGCACAATGGGAAGCAAGGGAAGAAGAGAAAGTAGCAACCTGCTTTAGATTTGCCTTCCTCCTAATTCAATTCTTCAGCAAAAGTAAAACAGACCTCAGGTCTACCAGCTGGGTTTTGTGAATGGAAGAAGTCAAACACCTGGAGTCATTTGGATACATTTTTTCAGATTTCCCAAACATCCCTTCTGAGATGTTTTTTTTTTAAGTTGTGATTCAAAGTAACAGCCCAAGTCATAATGATGACTAAAAAATTGAAGGCTAACTTTGCTGCCATGAATGTAAAGCTGAAAATAAACTAAAATGTCATCTTAGAAAAAGAAAAGCCCAAGCAAAAAACAAACATAAAAAACCCGTAAGAAAAGTGGACAAAGACAGGTCCTTCTAATTTTTTTTAGTTGTTCTAATGCTTTTAAGTGTATTAATTTGCCTACTTTTATATTTATAATTCAGAAACTGGCTCATGAGTATTAACAATTTCATTTTCCCTGCTGTTGGAGGCACTTTGTGAACTACTTAGAGACAGTATCTTCCTGGTTCAGCCTCCAGTCTTCAAGATCAGAGGCTCAGGACCCACAGCATCTAATGCTCCAGGGCATAGCCCTGTAGTCCTTTCTAGCTCTTCTTCATGTTTCACTTTTTGTTGTATTTTGCAGTGCTGGGCTTTGAACCCAAGGCCTCCTGCTTGCCAAGCAAGCGCTTTCCCACTATCCTGCCTCCCCAGCCCACCTTTCTAGTCTTCTATCCAGTTTCATAGCACTGCAATACAAAGACTTTCTAGAATTCTGGATAATAACTTGATGTGTAGATGTGAGTTCTAATCCAGGGTCAGATGATAAAAACTATACACACATTAACGTGAGAACAAGAAGGTGGTTTTCAAGCAAAATACAGGAGGATGGATTTCGAAATCCCTATCACCAGCTCATTCCATTGTTACAGTTTTCACTGAAAAGGAAATTTTGGATAAAGCAGCCTTAAATTTGGGCTGAAGCAAATTAATGATAGCAAAGACTAAGATCCCATGGATGTCTAGTCACTTGTCCAGCACCTATTTTGGAGAATAAGCATCCACTGAGCTACTTCCTGTTTCAGAAGGAAGACACCCATGCACCCGTGAGATGGCGTTGCATGCACAACCTACACATTCTTCAGCTGCACCCGGATCCAAGAGACCAGCAGCTGATTCCAGAACCTAAGTAGCATTAGGTTAGTTGTGCCTCCATCCCTCCCAGCTTTCCTCAAAAGTTGGAAGTAGCAAAGAAAGAAAAAAATGAGAACATGACCTGAGTAGGGAACATCACTTGCTCTGCCCCAGCTTAAGTTTGGAGCCAGAAAATCACTCTTGTGGCCAAACTCTAATGAGTCATCGGATTCCCTGTGCTGAACTCTATGAAGGAATAATTGTGTTATTGTGCATTGGGTGGCCTATGCTGAATGATTCTTGGGGCCTAAACTCCTAAGCTGTCTAAACCATCAAGAACATGTACGCCACACAGCTTCATGAATTGCTCCTGTTTGGTTTTGAGCTAGACAATCAAATAATTACTCTACACACGGCCTTGCATCTGTCACATGGGCTATGACCATGGCTGAAAATGCCCCAGTTGAGCAAGGCTTGGAGTGAGGGGAGGGAATGGGGTGATGGCTCCAAGACGCCAGTCAAGGAAGAGCGGAAGTACTGGTAGCACAGCCTGGGGCTCCTACCTGCTGTCCCCGTGCCCCTGGGCTGGGGAGGTCTTCGTCGGGCTTGATCTTGGACCGCTTGTTGTGCATCGGGTCGCCCGTGCTGCTCACTGCAGACTCACTTGTGGGTTTGTTCTGCTGGTCACACATGCAACCCAAGACAAAAATTAGGTTTTGATCAATGAACAGGACCGTAATTAAAACCTGCAACTCAAGACATCAGGCTTACTTGGCCACAGCGTAATGACTGAAAATGCCCCAATCCCCTGGAAACAAATCAGAGTGGGACGGTGCATGCACAAGGCTGCTTATTTTTCATTCATGAATATAAAACCTCTGTGGGTTTTGACAGCGAGAATAGAGCTGGGGCGCTAGGCTTTAATTGGCTCCAACACTGTATTCCCAAAGACTAGACTTGGGAGGCCGTGATGAACCATTTGTGAAACTCTGTAGCGAGAGCATCCAGATTCTTGTTCAAAAGGCATCAGAGTGGCAGTGGGAACAGAGGGGTGGCACAGACTCTAAAGTGTTGTATGATGCTCAGTAGCAAACAGGGTCCAGCAGAAGGAGTGGACAGGGACCTGATAAGAGCCACTCAATCACCCACAGTCTTTACAACTCATGTGGTTTACAGGTGGCACCAGGTCCAAGTGCAGCTTGATCAAGCAGCCTGCTTTTCCACACATGAGAAAACGGCCTGGTGGAAGATGCTCTTGTCTAATGAGGGGTATGCACACAGGACATTTTCCAGAACTGAAGAATGCACCCTGTGCAAGGGGCAGGATGCCAGTATGAAGCTGTGAAAACATCAAGGCACGGCGGTAACAGCGGTGGATATGGTAGCCAGGCCCCTCCTCTGGGGACCAAGGCAGGCAAGCTCATGGAGCTGTCTCTCTCACCTGTGAGGACTCAGAAGGGCCAGAGCTGACTTGGACAGGATTCAGAACCGTGGGGATCCCTGGAATTGGCCTCTGTGTTGGAAAAGTTGGGGCCGGGTGGATGAGCGGAGGGCTGTGTCCAAAGGCCGAGCCTAAGCTTTGCTGTCGGCTTAAGATCTGTTGATGCATATGGAGAGAGACAGGTGCAGATGGGTAGGTGAAGCTTAAGGCGGGGCTGTATGTGGGAGATAAAAAATAAACAAGCATCACTTACATTGATCTCAGAGACTATCACAGGTGTACAATATCTTCCGCTTTATAGCAGCGATGTTACCAACCCAAAGCACATTGGGTCTGCTTGTTTAAATGGGAAAGGAGAAACAATGACATCCAAATATCCAGAAAACTTCCAACAGTAAGATGACTAGGACAGTCACACATGTGGGCATGCGCACACACCCCCACCGACCTGAAATAAGATTCTGCAAAGTGGAGTAAAAGGCATCAACTCAATAATAACTATTTATTGCAATAACAAACTTGATAGAAAAAAAGACAGTGGGTGACTACATGCTTTATAGTACTTTTATGGGCTCTGAGTTCCACATGTTCCCGGGCACGAAGCAATTCCTTTAATCTTAGCTCACACCACACGCTTTCATATGTCTCCAGATCTTATTACAAGAGGAAAGAAAATCAATTGGTTAAATGTGTTTTGAACACCATGCTTGTCATATCACTCATTTGTTTGTAAAGATGGAAAGCTTGGTTCATCCAGAATGCCACCTAAAGAATTTCCATCAGTGCCGTCTGGTTACAGAAGCTGATGGATTAACCTCTCCCCACTGCAATCAGTGATCAATGGGCTTCGATGGAGGAATATCCCAATGGGAGACCACAGCTCCCTCCTCTAGCTCCACAGCATTAAATGTCTATTACGGCCCATTATGTATGCTAATGCCTGTCACCACTTTATTACGCTGCAGTATTTCCCAGACTACAGTAAGTTCTGAGGAAGCACTGCTATTACCTGAGGATTGCCCAAGTGGCAGGCAGCACCAAATTGTTCTTTGTGCAACACAGATTAGGAACCCAACGCTTTTAAAGAATGAAGCCTCCTTTATGACTTTGCCAATGCCTAAAATGCATAGAATACTAGTAATTGCGTTCATGGAAGTTTCTTTTTAATAAAAATATCAGTGAAAGAAATTATATACGGATTGCCTCTTATCGTGCTGTGTAATATGCAGAAAGAATTAGGGTTTCTTCTAATGTCAAAGGTAGAACTCATGCAAATTTCCAATCTGGTGGGTTAATTACTATTGCTGTTAAGCACATTAACTGAGAATAAAATAATTACGATCACAAAATTCAGACTCTTTCAACAACTTTAAGTAATAATTCCGGAGATATACTCTGTTCGTTAATGTAGCTCTACATTTTTTCCTATTTGACTACAATCCATAAAAGGCAGCTTCAATGGGATTACATTACTATTATTCCTATAGAGAAACTTCCATTACAATGACTCGCCCATTTAAGACTGAATATCATTAAGAATACCCTAGGAGAATTCCACCAGGCTTTGAGGAACTCTTCTTTCATTCTGCATTGTATCTCTTTAATAAAGGAAAGCAGAAACAAGGTTGAAAACAGTCATTGTTCACAGTAAGTTAGGGAGAAATCAGTAATAATATTCTGATTCTGCAGCGCTATAGTTTCTGCCACGGTTTCCGAAAGCAATCGTGAATGATTACAGCAAAACTTAGCTAAGGTAGCTGTGTGGATGATTGATAGGGCATTAATCAAAAGATGCATATCTGCCTCAGAATTTGTTCACAAGCTTTCTTCTAATAGCTGATTTCATGTTCACTGAGCTCTATGCCAGTTTGTCCAATTTATTTTGCGGTGTACAAGCCATTCATCAAAAAACGCAATGATTTAACACCCCCTTCTCTCCTTTAGGTGAATGGATATTACTAAGTGTAACTACCTTATCCTATTCATTAAAGAAATGAAAAGGAAAATACCCCACTTCACACATAATTGCAAGGTCTTATAGACTCTGCATGGACCTCCACACATCTCTGCAGAGCTCAAGGGTCTGACCTGGCTGCCAGGCTCAGACAAGGGACAGCAAAGGCCCCTGGCACTTCTAATTCTGGGAGGCACAAGATATGGGGGCTTTAAAACCCTGTACCTGAATAGGAATTAAGACCATTAAAGAAAACATTTCACAATACAAAAAAAATGCCCTTGGTTATTATTTATAAGCAACTCACAAATGTTAATAGCCAGACAAGGTAGGTACATTTCCTTAGAAGATACAGCAGGGAAGACAGCACAGAGCCAGCATTCCCACCGTAGTTCCTTAGAGCCTTGTCCTCTGAATCCCCAGGAAGCACAGGTGGGGGCTGGGAGGGCTTTCAGTGTTTTAGTAACATCCCCTTTGAGGAGTGCTGTTTTGTTGGGAAACACAGATAAAATAATACACATATCAGCTATCTGATGGCATGGGATATGAGGGAGCAGAAACGGACTTGTGAATTTTAGGGCTCCATGGCTTATTTGTAATGAGCCAGCAAGAGAAATCCTCTCTTCTCTGCCTGCAAAGAGCTGGGCACACAGAGGTCCCAGGAGGTTCTGTCCCTGCCCAGGAGGGCTGGCCCTACCCTGCTGCTGTAGACCCGGTCGCCCAGATCCACACAGTAAAGACTGTTTGCAATTTAAGGGGAGGAGTAGAAAGATCCTGGCTCCATCACAGGCTGCGCAAAGGGCTTTGGGAGCTAAGCTGGCTCAGGATGCTGCCTGCTGAGCTCTGGAAGTTTTCTAAGGAATAAGCAGAGGCTGGGCTGTGACTCTCCCTCTTCCCCGCAGGATGTCAGGAAAGACAGACAGACGCCCTTTCTATTAACTGATGCCTCCCACGTGCAAACTCAACCGTGCTCCTGAGTGAAAACAATGTGGGCAAAGAACCTCTTGAGCGCATCCAGGATTGGGAGTAAGAAAATACAGGTCTTTGCCCCCTAAGCTCTAAATCTGAGTGGGCACAGCAGAAAGTCCCACACCCTGAGAATCCCTCGCCTCACAGCTCAGCGGTGGTTTTCCCACATATTGACACTTCCTGTGCTCCCTTGCTCCAGAGCTCAGGATAGCCGCTGCTTTTCTGTATTCAGGTGCCAGCTCAAACGTCACCTGCTGAGGCCTTCTTTGGTCGAATGCCCCATTAAAATGAGTCCCATCTGCACCTTTCTGCCCTTTCCTTACCATCCTCTGTTGGAGGATCTTATTGGAACAGTAGCAATCAGCACTCTGTGAAATCAGATTCTCTCTGTCCTTCCGGAAGGTCAGGGCAGATGAGTTGGCCACTGGACCCTGGTACACAGCAGCCACTCATTATCAGTCCACAAGTGACTCAAATTCTTCATCAGTGTATTAATTTCCCACTGCTGCTGTTGCACATGACCATCCACTTAATGGCTTCAAAGAGCACACACGTTTATTATCCTACAGTCCTGAAGGCAGAGGTCTGAAGTGGTTGGCTGGCTTACAACTCTCAGAGGCTTTGAGCTCCGGGATCTGCGTGTCATCTCAGTAAGTGTGGCCCTCTTGCCTGCCTCTTATAAGGGCTCTTATGATTACCCTAGGGCCACTGGATAATCCAGGATGATCTGCTCATCTCAAGAGCTAGAGTTTAATCACTGCTGCAAAATTCCTCTTAGCATGCAAGGTAACATATTCATAGATTCTGGAGAACAGGATGTGCACATCCTCTTGGGGGCTACTAGTCTACCTATCCCTCAGAAAATCACCTCAAAAAATTTGAATTTTTTGAAAGTTTAATTAAAACTTTCCAAGACCTATAATTAGACAGCATGTCCATAAAATACTATTGTGTCAAAGCTAGTGGTTACATGTGTTCTTTTTTCCTAACCACTTAGGCAGCTCAGTAGAGACTTTGGTGCTTACAAAGAACAAAATTAAAAAGACACAGGTGTGGTGGCACATGCCTGTAACTCCAAGAACTTGACAGGCTGAGGCAGGAGGATCACAATTTGGAAGACAGCCTGGGAAACTTAGTGAGACCCTGTCTCAAAATGAAAAACAAAAATGACTGGAGATGTAGCTCCGTGGTAGATACTGGAGTTCCATCTCCAGTATCACAAATGAAAGAATGAATGAACAAGTAATGGACAAAAGCAGAAACGTAAACTCTACCTTCAGAAGCCCTGAAAATTAAATTCTTAAGTAGCTTATATATATTTGTTCCGCAATATCCTAGAAATAGAAAATATCAATATTGTTGAAAATGTTTATAGCTCTGACATCTCCTGTAAAAGATGCGGCCCATCCTTCCAGACTTGGTGCCTGAGTGTTCCCACCTCCCAGCTATTGCTTCTCTGCTCAACTATTAGTCACTTCAGGAGAGATGAATTTTATATTCTGATGCTGAATTCCCTTCACTCAACAATTAATACACTTTAAAAAATGTTCGATGTTTTAATTCACTTCTACGTAACTACATGGAAGGAAACCACAAGGTACATTGACAAAAATGTGACATAACTGTTAATATCCGTTTCATCAATAAGGCCAGTAGGAAGAAAGTGTTAGATGGTCTAGATTTCCCCCAGCCATGCGCTAGCATGATCTCAGGACACCTGGGATCACCTGAGGCCACATGATCCCTGAGAAATGTCATGGAGGAAAAGACAAACAAATGCCAAGTCCCACAGCCCCAAGGTCCCTGAGGAGCTGCCACTCACAAAGGTGTATTCCAAATCCCTACCCCCACCCACACTCCAGACACCTTTGACAGCAGGAGTTGGAGGAGGCTATAGAGAGACTAATGAGCCTAAAGACACACTGAAGAAAGTCTGTTCTAAAACATCAATTATCAAGGCAGCATAAATTAAATCACTCACTAATTTTCCCTTTATTTTACTAGGAAGTAAAAAAGGAGAAAAATGTGGACTCAGACTGCAGGCCCAGTAGAACTGCTTTATGGTTGCTGGACTGTGCTCTTCAGGGGCGTTGCATTCCAGCGCAGGATTCTGGGCACGCCCACATACCATGGATAAATGCTCAGTCTGTTCTACCCTCATGGTCAGCTACGAGCCAAGTTCAAAGTAATAGACAACCTGCTGTCCAAGTAGGAAGCAGTTCTTCTGTTTTCCAAAGATTGAAAAACACAATTCTCAAAAGGTGAGCCTTTAAGAAAGTTCTAACATATAT